TAATAATTCTTCGTTTATGAGTTTCAAAAGCCTAGGTCTAGGCTTAATAACAATATTGTATCAAACTAAGCATTTTACATGCATTCTCTTATTTAATCCCCACAATAATCCTATTATGTAGTGTAGACAGAATAATGGCCCCTCAAAGATCTCCATGCCCTAATCCCTGAAATCTCTGAATATGTTAATGCAAATGAGATTTAGTTAAGGATTTTGAGATGGGGAAATTAGCTTGGATTATCCAGGTGGATCCAATGTAATCACAAGGGTCTGTATAAGAGGGAGGCAGAGGAGTCACAGTCGAAAAAGATGGAATGGTGGAAGCGGAGGGTTAGGGGAGGAGAGAGAGGAGGGAAGTTCAAGCAATCCTATCAGCCAGGATCAGGGAATGTTTGATTATATTTCTGATTTGGACAGGATTCATATTTTGTTCTGGCCTAAGTATGGAGGGGTCCCATTTTTGCCTTGATCCATCCCAGTTGCAAAGTAGCCTTGACTGATGTTGCTATTTTATGAAATTGTTTATGTTCAACAGGGAAACAGTAATGCCTGGTCAATAGCACCAGGCTAGCTCTCAGATCAGCGGCCACTTCTTTTCTTTCTCATTTTTCATATAGTTTGTATAATCACCCATTTGATGTTTCATTCTTTATTCTCCTGTTGGACATATGTTTCCAGATTTTCAGTAAAACTGTAAATTTAGGGCTCGAATTGCCTTAAACAATAAAGGAGTTCAGTTCTTGTGATTCATGTCAAGAAAATGAAGGACCAGTCAGAGACTGGGAGACGATACTTGCAAATAAAATAAAGGCCTGTATATACAAAATACATAAAGAACTCTTAAAACTCATCAGTAAGAAAACAACCTAATTTTTTAAAATGAAAAGACTTAAACACTTTTCAAGATATACATTTGGCATTAAACCCATGAAAATATGCTCAGCATCACTAGTTATTAGGGAAATGCACAGTGAGCTACTACTATATACTTATCAGAATGGCTAAAACGAAGACGACTAACCACACCAAGTGTTGGCAAGAATGTAGCAGAACTAGAACTCTCATGCACTCCTGGTGGCATGTAAAGCATACAGCTACTTTGGGAAACAGTTTGGCAATTTCTTTCAAAGTTAAACATAGACCCACCATGTTATCCAGCCATTCTACTTGTAGGTATTTACCCAAGAGAAACAGAAATATATGTCCCTATAGAGACTTGTATACAAATGATTATAGCAGTTTTATTTGTAATAGCCAAAAACTAGAAATCACCCATTTGTCCATATGCAAATTGTGGTACATCCATATGATGGCATGCTACTAATAATAAGGAATAATACTCAATAAAAAGGAATGAACTTTTGATGTATACAACATGAATTTCAAAATAATTATGCTAAATGAAAGAAGCCAGACCAAAAAAAGTACATCTGTTTGATTCTATTCATATAAAACTCAGAAAACGCAACTAATTTGAAGTGAAAGAAAGCATATCAGCTGTTGGTGGGGAATGGGAAGGAGTGAGAGTGAGTGAATCCAAAGGGGCTGAAGAAACTTCTGGAGGTTCACTATCTTGTTTGTGGTGATGGCTTTACAGGATATGCATATGTCAAAACTCATCAAATTATATACTTTCTTTAAATACGTGCAAATTATTGTATGTCATTATATCTCAACAAAACTGTTTTAATTTTTTTTTCAAGATTTATTTATTTATTTGAGAGAAAGAGCACATGCACGAACAGGGGAAGGGGCAGAGGGAGAGGGGAAGGGGAGAATCCTCAAGGAGACTCCACGCTGAGCAGAGGAGCCTGACACGGTGCTCACCCCCAGGACCCCGAGATCATGACCCAAGTCAAAACCAAGAGTTGGCTGCTCAACCCAGTGTGTCACCTCAACAAACCCATTGTGCCCCTCAAGAAAATTGTTTTAAAAAGCAGGGGGCAAGTAAGGATGGGCTTCAAGGAAACCAGTGATGGTATTCAGTAATCCAATTTCTTTCCCTTTCTCCACTGTGCTTCCTGGCCTGGAAAACAGAGCTCCCCCGACTGACAGGGAATTTCCAAACAAGAGACTCAGACCTGAAATTCACCCAGATTGGATAAGCATGGATCATGTGGTTCCTTCAAAGTTAAACATATGCCCTGATAAGAAACAGTCCCCTGTCCTCCCTTGCCCCTAGATTGTTTGCCAAATAAGTTTGACATTGTCCTACAACAACTGAAGTTTTCTGAAAGGCAGGACTGCAAAGCATCTGGCAAAGCAAACAGGGAATGGCTTTTTAAAGGAGTGCTCCAGTGGCTCAAACCACCTTAAATCAAAAGAAAGTCCAGATGCTCTCTTTCTCTAGGTTCCTCAGGCTCCCCAAACTCATAAGCTGAACAGTTCTAACTGGATAAAAATGTAAAATATCAGGGTGCCTGGCTGGCTCGTCAGAAGAGCATGCAACTCTTGATCTTGGGGTTGTGAGTTTGAGCCCCATGGTTGGGTGTAGAGATTACTAAAAAAATAAATTTAAAACATATATAGATATTGGGGCGCCTGGGTGGCTCAGTTGGTTAAGCGACTGCCTTCGGCTCAGGTCATGATCCTGGAGTCCCGGGATCGAGTCCCGCATCGGGCTCCCTGCTCAGCAGGGAGTCTGCTTCTCCCTCTGACCCTCCTCCCTCTCATGCTCTCTGTCTCTCATTCTCTCTCTCTCTCAAATAAATAAATAAAATCTTTAAAAATATATATAGATAGATACGTGTATGTGTGTGTGTATAATATCAGTTCCCTTACTTTATCGTTAAAGGTGTAAACACAGGGGAGTTGCCACACAATAAAAAGCAATGGGACATTCTACCTGAGAATAAGCCGTATTAGGAAACTGAGAAAAGATAGTGACTTCCATGTAAAACAGAGAGGAATTCCTTTGGTTTCCAAGGTTTGGTGTCTATTATAAAGTTACGTTGGTGGTGGTTTTTATTGGAGTAGCAGGGAGCACCATTTAAGCAGTGACCCTTTCTAGCCCAGGTTTGCCCGTTTGTGTCTGCAAATCGCTCAGGCCAAATCCTATCAAATGTGGGCTACGGAGCCTACAGGTAAAGAATATGTCCTATATAAGGCAGTGTTTCTCAAACTTCAGTGTACATGATAATCATGTAAGATCATTTAAAAGATCATGTAAGATCATCATAAAAAAAAATCATGTAAGATCATTTAAGATCAGATTCTGAGGGGGCCTGGGTGGCTTGGTCGGTTAAGCCTCTGCCTTCGGCTCAGGTCATGATCCCAGGGTCCTGGGATCGAGCCCCACATCAGGCTCCCTCTGTGGGGAGCCTGCTTCTCCCTCTCCCTCTGCGCCGCCCCTCCCACTCGTGCTCTCTCTCACCCTCGTGCTCTCTCTCAAATAAATAAAACCTTTTAAAAAATAAGATAAAATAAAATAAAAATGCAGATTCTGATTCAATAGGTCTGAGGTAGGGCTGGAGACCCTGCCTTCTCACCAGTTCCCAGACAATGCTGCTGCCGCTGGTTAAAGAACACACTGAATAGGAAGGCTATAAAACAGAAGTGCAAACTCAAAAGTCCAGGCCAGCAGCAGATGTGTGATGGCGGAGGATACAACATAACATGTTGGGGACTAGTGGGAAGGGTGTGGTGAACTGGGGCATGCATTCTCCACCTTCAAGCGTTCAAACAGCAATATTGTGCTCTCCCAACAAAGGCAGGGCTGCAGCTGAATTCCACGCCACCAGTTTTCAGCTGCTGCACAACGGAGGCAGGCAGGCAGGCAGGCATGCACGGCTTAGTAGCAAAACCTGAATAAAAAACAGGAGGCCTCATTCTCGCTTGCTCAGCATTTTTTCGGGTGAGCCCCACCATGGACTCGGGTCTTTCTTATGGAGAATAGAGACTCAAACATTGCATCAAGCTGTTGCACTTAAAACTTTCTAAAAGATGTTTGGGCACAGGTAATATACCTCCAGCTCTCTCTCTCTCTCTCTGATAGTAAAATACCAAAGGGTCAGAGCAGCACTTTCCCCTAATTGCAGTTAGGTGTTACACTGGCATTTTGAAGATTGCTTCTGAACTCACTGAGGTGGCGGTTTCAGGTAGATGCAGTGGTTGCCAATGGAAACAGCAACCTCTGGGCCAGGCACAGGAATGGGGCTGAGGCAGGAGGGGAAAAAGCCACATAGTAACTGAAATGTGTTCATGAGAACCCCCGGAGAACACCCAGAGATAACAGGATGGGGTGGGATGGGCGTTTCCAGGAGCTAGGAACCTATATTGGTAGGTGGGACAAGACTCAGCCAAACACAGGTTCCCTTAAGATCACTAGAAAATGTTTCATTTGTCTTATGTGATGATCATCTGTACCCCTATTGTTTTATATTCCATCTTCATTCCCAGCTTTTGAAACAGGCTACGCCAGCACAATTTGATAGAGATATAATGCGGGTCATATATATAATTTTAAATGTTCTAAGGCTATGTTTAAAAAGTAAAAAGGGCGCCTGGGTGGCTCAGTTGGTTAGACGTCTGACTCTTTGATTTCGGCTCAGGTCATGATCTCAGGGTCGTGAGATCAAGCTCTGCATTGGAATTGCGCTGGGTGTGGAATCTGCTTAAGATTTTCTCTACCTCTTCCTTCATGCCCTCCTCCCCCCCACTCACACTCTCTCTCAAAGAAAAAACAAAAACAAAAACAAAACAACAACATAATATATTTATTTACTCATCTCCCCGATCTCCAACTGCTTTAGTGGAGAAAAAAATATTATGGCCTGATCTTGACCAGCCACAAAGCTAAATGTTAACAGCTTTAGTTAATGGAACTTAATGAAATTAACACAATTTTGTCTCATTATTGGTGCTGTATATTTAAATAGAGGTTATTTGAAGATTTAAAGAACTGAAACAAAGTACTGTGCAGCTTTAAAGTGTTTTGGAGAGCAGCGAGGCATTTTCAAATTACCGACCTACTTTACGTGAGAATACTGAAGTGGTAGTTTAAATAAGCTGTACCTAGAGTGATCATACGCTCTAGTTTTCCGGGAGTAATACCAGTTTTCTGTTGTTGTTGTTGTTTTGTTTTTTTGTCTTTTAAACTGCTTTATTAACGTCACAATATATAATGAACATCTTGCCATGCAATAGGGTGAAACTCCCCTGCTGACAGAATCTTACATTTTGGGTCAAAATTCAACATTCAATTAGAAGCTGGTCATAGGAGACCCACAAGAGACATGTAACACCAAAAGGTTTACAACAAATGTACACTGAGAACATTAAGTTTAGGAAGCAGGTGTGTCTTCCTATTAACTTCAGGGAAAACATCAAGACTCAAGGCATAAGGCAAACTCATCATGATGGTCATGGTGAGGAGGGTCAGTGCTAATTGCCCGCAGACTATGACTGAATTGCTTTTCCCTCAGCTTTTCCATCAGCTGTCCCATCTCGTCCCCAATCCTTTCCATATTCTCCTCTCTCATCCTTGCCTGTGGTTCTCCAAGTCTCTGAATCATGTCCCACCTATACTGCAGGATGGGCTGCCTAACATGGAACCGCCTACGATTTACTCGAGGCACACAATATTCACCAGCTTCCAAAGGGAGGGCCAAGGGCTCTCCTTTATTAGCAACTTGCTCCTTTTCATCCCTTTTTTCATTTTCCTGTTTGGCGTTCTCCACGTTGAGATTTTTTACTGCTTGTTCCTCTTTGGACGCCATTGCTCCTGGGCCCATCCTTGCAGTCTCCTCCTCCTCCCGATTCTCGCCGAAGAGTGCGCCCCCCTGCGGCACTTAGACCTGCACACCTGCTCCCCCCCGCCCACCTCGCCCGCACGCCCTCAGGGCCACTGGGAGCAGGCACCGAGAACCAAGGGAGTGCAGGCCGGCTCTGACCGTAATGCCAGTTTATACCTGCTGTCCCATCATAATTATTAATGATTCCCCCTTTCACTCTCAAAATTTTCCCAGTTTGAACAATTTTGTATAAAGCATGACTAACATGTACAACTTAAACTTAACATATTTTCTCAAAAAAAACCTCCCAAACCAAAAACCTCCTATGTTGAGTTTTCCTATGTAAAATCTTATACTCAGGGTAAAGAAAGAACAAAGGGCATTTCTATATTTTTTTATTCTTCATTCCAAGACCATACTCAATAGACTTAATTTGCATAAGTGAATTATAGAAAATTGACCCATGGGCATAACAGAGTCTCTTTGTGTTTTTTGTGTTTCTTTCTTTAAGATTATTTTGTTCCTGTAAGTTGTTCATTTCTGAACATAGCACTCTTAGCGATATGTTAGTATTAAAGTTTTGCAGAAAAGATGCTATATGGATATAAATTATTCTTCCTGCTACTAAGGCAATATATTTATTTTTAAATAAAAAGGGGAAATACTTTAAGCAATTTAATTTTAAATCACTACAGTGCACCTGGAATAATCTGGAACCAGATGGGATAGTCTAATATACTATCAAGATGGGCTTTCAGTTGTCTGGGAGGGCTGAGTCTGCAAATGATTTCTTTCTCTCTCTCTGAGATTATATAGAAAGAGAGCCTATTTGATTTTCACAGAGAACTCTCAGCATGTAGATTTCTGGATTTTCCTTTTCCTTCTTCATGTATCACTTTATGGATTCTCTACAAATTTTTTGTTGGTGTTGTGGTTTTTGTCTTGTTGTTTTAGTTAAGAGCATATTATTCTGAGATTTATTTAAAAGGAATTTCCTTGGGGTGCCTAGCTGGCTCAGTTGGTCGAGTGTATGGCTCTTAATCTCAGGGTCGTGGTTTCAAACCCCACATTGGGTGTGGAGATTACTTAAAAATAAAACCTTAAAAAATAATAAAAATAGGGTTCCTGGGTGGCTCAGTCGGTTGAGCGACTGCCTTCGGCTCAGGTCATGATCCTGGAGTCCTGGGATCGAGTCCCGCATCGGGCTCCCTGCTCGGCGGGGAGTCTGCTTCTCCCTCTGACCCTCCCCCCTCTCATGTGCTCTCTCTCTCTCATTCTCTCTGTCAAATAATAAATAAAAATCTTTAAAAATAATAATAATAATAAAAATAAATAAAAGGAGTTTCTTTGAGAGCTGTATGATAACAGAGTCTTTCTTAGGCTATTGTCTCTATTTATTATTCTCATACTCTTTAATGTCTTTTCCAAATGCAAGTTGCCACTTGTCATTTTTGCTTCTGAAAAATCAAAGTATAACTTATCCAAACAAATAAACAAACAAAATATATAAAGGTCATGTCTCCCACCAGTAAAAGTTTGGGCATGTTTGCTTGCAACCCTTGTATGAAAAAAACTGAGGATTCTCCGAGTTTCTCAGCTGTTCCTCACACTGTGTGTGCCATATCCACTTGGACCCACCTCTGCAGTGTCCCAGTGGGACTTGGGGGAAAGAGGACTAATACGAACATGAATTTCATGCTGTCTGCTGTGCAGTAAGTAATCAAGTCTTTTGTCTCTGACCAAGGAATCTCATGTCTTCTGCCAGCTTCCATGAAACTGTGACAGCCTAAATTGAGAGCTTGCAAGTAGGGTAAAATCTGGGTTCTTTACAGTTCTTGACAGCGCACCACTTCAAAAACCCTGTCAGCCACACTCTCACTTCAGCCACTCCTGCTGCAACTTTTTTCAGGTAGATCTCAGTTAATTTTATGCAGGGGCACTTTGATAGTGCCTTGCTTCAACTTGTGATATGTCCCTCTACCTGTCTGCTCTAAGGAACCTCTGACACCCCTGTGTAGGACACCCAGAAGATCCCACTCAGTGCTCTGGGATGTGCAACCCAGAAGAGAAGAGGAAGGTGACCAATGGGGAACAGAAACCAATGGATATAAACTTGCTTCTTCTTTTAACCCCAGGTGGAATGTTCTGCGGTACATTTCTATAAAAGCCCTCTAGGATGATCATTGCAGGATCATGTACCAATCACCCACAGGGTAACTAACCCCTTAAGACATTCTTGCCTTGCCTTCTCCTCTTCCCTGCCTTGTATGCCTTTCCTATAAGTTAATGTCCAGAATATTTGAAGAATTATTGTTGCATCAGTGTTGGGACTAAGCTATTTAGTGTAGAGTGTGGGATCCTAGGTTCTAACAGAATACCAATGCTTTTCAGGTATGTTAAGAAGAATGTTTAGTCCCTCTATTAATTGCTATTACAGGACTTGCTAATCTCATATTGAAAAAGAGCAAATGTAAAATGATAAGCACAAAATGCATGGAAGAGAGAAATAGGCATATCCCATGAACACATTAGTTTTTATAACTGCCTACTCAAGTTTCACTAAAAAAAAAAACAACAGGATTTTAGAATGCTGGTTGTTAGACCAATTTTACAATAAAGTGCTCATTTTGCTCAAGCAAAATGCAAAGTTTAAGGGAACTTATCCTTCATTTTTCATATTCATAGTGACTATCCATGGGTAAACTGCAGTGGAAATGTGGTGGAAAGAAGGCACTGGCCAGGGGTCTTGCTATAAGGAACTATCTTGTAAAGTTCACTCGCTTTGACAAGTTCCAGATGTGCTGCATCTACCAGAATTATTGAGATATTGGAGCCTAGCATAGATCATAAAGATGTGATTTCTTGCTATATAGAAGATGAGTGTTTATATAACCAGTTATCTACTTGTAGGATCTAAAAACAGAATAGGGTTTTTATTTTAATCTTTTTTGGTAAGACTGCTGTTTATTTGGGATATTATGCTTTACATGTCACATGTAAGAAGGCACTGATCATTTTAATTCCTGGGCCTCTGTTTTTCCTTCTCTTTTATTTTTTGGTTGCAACCCTCAGCCACTTTCTCAGGATATAGCTCACTATCTTCAGCGATGGCTAGTAGACAAGGGATCCTCTTCAGCTCCCTACAGCGTATTCTGAGATCACTGTTGCCCTTTTTGAAGAACTAGGTTTCCAAAGAGGTGCCATAAAAATCATTTTTAAAAGTTTATGATGTAACTTATTTTAAATACTTATTTATATTTTTGAGAGAGAGAGAGAGAGCATGTGCGAGGGAGCAGAGGGAGAGGGAGAAGCAGGGAGCCCAACATAGGGCTCAATCCCAGGACCCTGAGATCATGATCTGAGTTGAAGGCAGACGCTTAACTGACTGAGCCACCCAGGCACCCCGATGTAATTTATTTTAATTCACTCCAAATTTTAAGACACATGTGCTATTCTATCCTTTTCATGTGGTTAAGGGAAAAAATGTATTAGAATGTATGAGTAGCAATGTAATAAGACTTAAAACTGTTAAGAAGGATTACAGTCATTGCTATCGAAGGATGTTGAAGTAATTTTACTGGCTTTTCCACAATTCCCAGCGATGCAAGCACAGGAAGAAAAGACTCAGTGGAGTCTTTTACCTTCACTTCACAGAGGCCCTGATTTTTGCTGGCTTCTCTGCCCTGGTGTCAACATTAAACACCCAAGTCACTGTCCATCCATAGTCATGCTGTTAACATTCAGCGAATGGATTCATGCCACATATCCTCCATCTCTGCCTTTTGTATTTTTCTCACATGAAGAGGGTAAATTGAGGCTCTCCTGTCAAGAAAAAGAAGCTACCTTTAGAAAGTACTAGATATAAATCTTAACTGTTGGAATTAACAACACTAAAGTATTTGTGTCCTTTTCTTCCCCACATTAAATAGCTGATTTAATGTATGGTAAAAGTTTGTCCTGCACTCCTTGGTGACATTTGTTTAATTTGTATATCCATGCTACAATACAAGCTGCTTTTCTGATAATCCAGGAGTTGACAAACTTTTCCCATAACAAGCCAGGTAGTAAATATTTTAAGATTTTATTTATTTATTTGACAGAGAGAGAGATAGCGAGAGCAGGAACACAAGCAGGGGGAGTGGGAGAGGGAGAAGCAGGCTTCCCGCTGAGCAGGGAGCCGGATGTGGGGCTCGATCCCAGGACCCTGGGAGCATGCCCTGAGCTGAAGGCAGACTCTTAACGACTGAGCCACCCAGGCGCCCCTAGATAGTAAATATTTTAGATTTCGTGGGCCACAGAGCTCTATGGCAACTACTCAACCCTGCCATGGTAAGGCAAAAGTAGCCACAGACAATAAACAAATGAGTGTGGCTGTGTACCAATAAAACTGTTTTTATGGACACTGACATTTGTTTTTTATAAAATTTCATGTGTCACAAAATATTATTTAAAATTTTTTCCAATAATTTAAAGATGTAAAAATATATTCTTGCTATGTGTACAAAAACAGGCAGCAAACTAGATTTGGCACGCAGAGTATAATTCACAGACCACTGATGCTCCAATGTCAAACTCATTAAAGTTTATTGTTGTGTTTAAAGCTCAAGAGTAAATTCTGCCTGTGGCTCCATTTAAATTACATTTTAGCACTTTGGGGGAGGGGCAGGGATTTACAACCTAACTGTAAAGTTCTTTTTGGGGATAAAATTTGGTATTTAAAACCTAAAGCCAAGAAAAAAATTTATTCCACGTCTGAAAAATCTCGAGCACTGAACCCCAATCGACATCACTGTATTAAACTATATCTTGATAAACTATTTTAAAATTAATGGCCATTTACCCCTTTGGGTTTTTTAAATAAAAGTTGACTAATTGTATAATCGTAATCTTATTCTGGAATTTTAAAACATACAGGGATATTAAAAGTTCTATATAATACTGATACATCATTTTAAGAAAACTCTCTAGTGTATTTCTTTTCCAGCAAAAGGGCACCAAGACAAAGGCCCTGAACTTGGAATTTCTAGGGATTTTTCAAAATG